AAATACAATCTCTTTGCTAAAAACATGCCTTAAAATCGTTTCACCGACCTTTACCTTTCAGATGGGATAACCGGGAAACATATTAAGTCGATAGGCCTACCTCTAAACTAAATATCTTTCAAATGATTTGTACTAGAGTATTACATTTGTATAATCAAATGGTAATCTCGTAAATATTATAAGGAAGGAAAAGGGACTAAGAGTTTCTGATTAAGCAACTACAAACTGAACATGAGCGAGTAGGTTTCGTTTTTTGGCTCCATAATCCGGAAGCTGTGATTATTGTATCAATAATGGTGTTGGAAGTGAAAGCAGATGACCAGTATGAAATTCTTGGCCAGAATAAGACAGGCTTCAGCACACAAGCACACCCAGGAATATTTACCCGCATGTTCTCTGCAGACGAGCAACAGCAAAAGGAGTTGAGACATCATCCTAGGACTAGTGGTCACTGGGATGTCCGCGGCTGGTTGGTGTGTCGGGTTTATGTCGAGAACGTAGTGAAGGCTTACGCGCTGCAATTGTGGTCAGCAATCGGCGGTCCCACGTCCAAACAACTTGTGTGTCGAAAGCGCATGCTTATCCCTCTTAACAGGAACAAATAACTGGTCGATATTTGCTTCGATTGGTTGGAGTAACTGACGTCAACTCCTTCCTTCCGCTCATGAAATCCAGAAATAAGCATATGTAATGAAAAAATCTTGACCTTTATGTAAACAAATAATGACTTGTATAATTCGAGCACTTAGTTTCTTGAATGGTAAACAAGCAGTTACAACCTCAGGTTCTTTTCGAAATAGTTCCAACTGTGAACACTTTTGTGTTTTGTTCTGAAATGTTATTTGGCGCGGAAATCCTCGTCGAATCATAGGAACTCCATTGAAACAGTTCAGCTGCTGGTTGTCTGAAGTGAAATCATTATATATGACTTAGTAGTTGAGGAGTTAGGAGACTCGACCCCGGCGTAATCGGTTTTGTTTCCGACCGTTTCATCCTTTTTACCTTAACCTCGAGCAAACAGTCAGGGATTTTAATAAATCTTTTCATGAAGTTTGTTCCATCATTGGTGTATCTGCCCAGGTTGATTCCTTTTGGACAGAAGATTACATTTATGATCATTAGTTTTTCTTATCAACCTTAGAAGGTCATTCGCCGGTTGTTTAAGTAAAACATTATTTTTTCAAAACGTTGCAAAAAGTGTTGTCGATTCCAGTGCGCTCAAAGCTCTGTAGGAAAACAGTATGTAGCAGGAATACAGAAAGGCAAAAAAAAAAACCGTTCACAGTTCAATCCAAATCTTCATCAACCAACACATAGATAGACGGATAGAATTACTGAACATATTGGATAGAAGTCTCCAAGAAGCAAAGGCTTGTCGAGTGGAGACCCGACTCTGTGAAGTTAACCAAGAACAGTTAAAATTACAAAACTAATTAACCACAGACGTTCAAGAACAACATAAAGGTTGTACTGAGCTGAGCAACTCAAGTAGCAGAAATTGTTAAGAATTAATTTTACAAAAGTGACTATTCTACCTGCAAATAATTTGAATTGTATTAGGTGTATTTCTGAGAGGGGGCTCAAGAGAATTTCACAGCCCTTCATATTTCACAGTTTTGGGGATTAAAGTAATGCGAGCTCAAGTCTGGTGATCGTCATGGCAACGCTTAGTGAAATGATAATGAACATTCTGATTTTTTTTTACAGAGCATTAAACACAAGGAGTCAGGCAGATTATTGTTTGCAAGCTGGTGCATAGCTGTAGAACGTAAATGTCACTGATCTTTAGTGTTTTGTGTTAATAAAGTAAAGGATTGCAATGAGCCCGAAAAAAATCATGGTTAATTACTTTTTTGAAGTGCCATAATTATACCAAAAGCAGTCGTTCCACAGTTCCCTATGCTACGATACCATAGCTGAAACAAGGGAAAATAAAAATAATGTAGAGAATGAATCACGCATTCAGGGGAAAAAGGCTTTAAGTTTGTTGATAACACCAATATTTCTGGAAATACCCCAGCAAGTATTGTTGACACGTGTTTTCCATTTGTAAGCATGCAGTCCTTCACACAATCTGTCAATTAACAGGTGTATCACCAATGAAAACAAAAACTTGTAAAAGGCTATTTTGCTTATTAATGAAGGACATCTTGTCGGATTTCTTAATATCAAGGGATAATTTATTTGCCTCGATCCATTCATTAAACTTTCTTTAATTCAACGTTAACAGTACTAAAAGGTACATGTACATTAGCATCAGGCTGTGTGTAAAATAAAATAGGTTATGATCATCAGCGAATAGGATAAATGATACATTATCAGAAGATTTTTCAAAATCATTTATATAAATGGAGACTGAAAGGGGCTAAGGTATGGATCCTTGGGGAACTCCACCGAAAAAAAAGATGAAATACCAGTAACAGTAACAAATTGATGACGATTTGTAACGTAATTCCTGAACTACTCCAATTAAACCCCATCAAGCAATTTCCCGTTTTCCTGGGAACACTGAAGTACTCCACAAGAGCCTTGAATCCAATCCAACAGATCCCAAGGAAACTCAAAGGAACTTTTCATTGGTGAAAGCTTACGTGCACGGTCAAGTTAAGCTACAAGCATATCATGACTGACAGCGTTGAAGAGGTCCACGAATATACCGATTGTATTGGAGTGTGAATCCGTACTGTTGGTGACAGTAATAACTGGAGAACTGCATGAGTGGTAGAATGTTTTTCCTGAAATCCAAATTGGGAACCAGATATTGTGCTTATTCAGGAAAAGGGTCATTCGTACATAAACGATGTGTTATTTTAGAAAATACAGTAAGAATAGCAATTTGCCTAGAATTAGAAGTAAGCTGTGAATCACCATTGTTACAAACTGGAGTGACTCTTGCAATTTTCCTGGCACTTGGCACAGATCCATTGGAGATCGAGAGGTTCATGGTGACAGAGATTTGGAAATTTCAGAGATTGCTAACAGTGTTTCCAATACGATCATGACCAGTAATTCTGTAATAACTATATTTTTTAACTTCTTGATCGCAAACCACTTTTAAGAAATAAGGAATCGGTATTTGCATCTTGAAGAAAGTCTACCGGCCTTTGCGGAATTCAATAGGCAAGGGATTCACCAACGCCAGTGAACTATGTATTGAAATGTCCAACGATAGGGTGAGGATCCTCAATAGAACCACCGTCAATGGTAATGCAGGAATTGTAGACTGTGGTTTGTTTTGAAGCACGCTATGAATGGCTTTCCAGGTACTTTTGATGTTGCCTTTGGCATCATCAGATTCATCTTTAAGCAAAATAATTCTGCTTCGGTTTGCACATAACATTATAGTAAATATGTTTTTATAACGTAAATAATTAGTCCGAGTAATGTCGGTAGGGTGTGAAATATATTTTTGATACAGCTTCTTTTTATGATAAATATAATTATTTGCATAAACTTAGGGATTAAAGTAAGGAATTAGTTTACAAGAACTTAGACCAGACTTTACGACCCTTGGTTGCAATATTCTAACAGGGAAAGAATTAAAGGTGTCCAGAAATCCAGTAAAAGCCGTCCATTTCCGCATTACGAGCATTAAAACTATAGACTAATCCATGGAATTCAAGTTATTATAAGTTTTCCCGGCCAATTTCGGAAAATGAGCGATCGATGTTGTTAATTAAATGAAATGTCAATTTAGCGTAGATTTTGAAAACGACTTAAAACCTGGTTTCATTTTCGCAATAACAAGCATTCGCCCTCGTTTTGCATCTTTCAAATAAATGAATGTGCATTACGTTTCATTAAAGAAGTTACAAATACTTGATTAGGATTTCGGATTGACGTATTGCTTGCCAATTACAACAAATGTGCATCCTTATTCGCTGAAAATCTGTCTTTTACCGTGTCCCTTCAAAAGTGAGTATTCATTTTCATTTTAGCTAACCTTTCTGAAAAAAAAACAACTTACCCAACACCTGTTATATAAAATCTTTACCTAACTGTTAGCATATTTGCATAGCACATGACTCTTGTGTAGCATTTTAGACAACGTGGGGGGGGTGAGAGTGGGGGCGATACCCACCACCCTTCATTAGCATTTTTATTTTATGCACACACCTACACCTGTCGCGTCTTTGCCCTCTGCTATCCCAAAATGCAGGTTAACGTATTCCACTCCTAAAAGTGCATCCCGATTTGTTCAACTGGCAATAGGACCCTACATAGTCTAATTTAAGTCACTTTTAATGAGCATCTGAGAAGTAACGATGAACTGATACACTCATAAACTAGTGAAACAGATGAAGCTGGTAGTAGGAGGAAGAAGATGGTTCACAGAAAATGTTTATTGACAATCGTCTGCCGATCACCGACAGTTGATTAAAACCAAATACTCGTCATTTATGCATCCCCTCAATAATTTAGGCCCTATACATTCCCCACCGTCGTGGAGCGTAAGGGGAAAACCCCAGGGGATTGCCGCCACGGACATATATG